CTGTGGGCGTAATTTCGAGCAAATGGATTTGGTCAACTGATCTTCTTATTCACATAATCACATCTGCCGATGTAGAAAGCTCCGATGCCAAACCACAGCAAATCCCAAACCCTAAGCCCTAAATCCTAAACCCTAAATCCTAAACCCTAAACCCTAAATCCTAAACCCTAAATCCTAAACCCTATCCCCTAAACCACAGCTGGGCCACCTGTGGGTGAAGCCTTGAGGTCCTTCTCCTTAGGCAGATCCAAGTCACTGAAGGAGCCCTAAACCCTATATAACCCCTTTGAAGAGATTAGACTCTAAACCCTCAACCCTATATAGTCCCCCATATTATAATAATTAATCCCCGCATTTTAGGAGTTTAGGAGTTCAGTTGCAGAGCAGTTGTTCCAGGAAAGCTGCTGGGCATAGGCTTCTTTGTCGAGAAAAATTCAGCAGTAAGCAGCTTTCAAACTGCTTCAGGAAATGTTTTCACCAAGCTCGCCAAAGTGTCCTCAAGCAAGACAGCCTTCAAGATTTACAGAGAGCCCAGCCCTTTTGCATGGAGGAGAATACCCAAAATCGCATACAGGATCTTAAGATGAATTAAGCCCCTAAACCCTAAAACCTAGACTAATTAGGGCCATTAGGGCATCTTGCTTAATTATGGGTCTCCGGACTCGATCCCGCTAAGCCCTCTCTCCTTAAATCCAGCTGGCATGCTGGGATGTTCACGGGTGCTTGCAGGTTAAATGCAAAGGGAGGCTGGCTACACTCATGTATTACTTTGGATGCCCCTACTTGCAACTACCATCAAGTCGTGACGTAAAGCCCCCAAACCCTTAAGTCCATAAACCTTGAATCCCCAGCCTGAAATCCTAAATCCCAAAGCACTGCACCCTAAATTCGTAAACCCTAACCATAAATCCCAAGCCCTAAACCCTAAATCCTAAACCCTAAATCCTGATCCCTCAAATCCTAAACCCAAACTCCTTAAACCCTCAAAGCCTAGGCTCAAGAACCTCGATCCGCCTCCGTAGCTCCTGCCAGTCCTGGGAGGCTCCCATTTAAGGGTTTAGGGTTGAGGATTTAAGGTTTAGGGTTTAGGACTTAGGGTTTAGGACGTAGGGTTTAGGGTTTAGGATTTAGGGTTTAGGATTTGGGGTTTAGGATTTAGGGCTTGTTGTGAGTTACCGTGCAAGCAGTGATGATTAGGTGTCAATGGTCCTTCAAGCGCATGGCTGTATGCGAAGTGCTGCCATGGCCTGACTGTGGCTGGCCATCCAACACAATCACCCACCCCACGCCGTCTGAGGCGGCCAAGCCACCCAAACCACCTCCTTTCCCAGTTTAGGACCTAAACTCTGTTGTTAGGTCCATCTTGGTCAACAACAAAGTCATCTTTATCGTATGTTGTTGTTTGTGAAATGGCTGCTGAATTCTGGGAAAAATTCTTGGCAGGCTTCAAGGCCCCTCTTTGGGAGGCGGAGGCCCCTTCTGGCCCCCTGCAAAGGCTCGTTACAATTACTTGTTTGTGGGCCCTGAAAGGCCCCTGCCCCCTGCAAAGGTTCGTTACAACTACTTGTGGGCCCTGAAAGGAGGTCCCTGGAAAGGTACTAGGATTTTGGGAGGCCAGTGGGAGAGGCCCTAAAAGCGAAATTCGCTCGTGCAGGAGGGCCTGGGGGTCTAGGACCCCACCCAACATGGCACTGGAAAAAAGCAGCAAGCGACGCTCAGAAACAAGGGGATGGGGTTAAGGGTAATTACTTTTAAAGCAATCAGTACTGGTCGCAAGGAGAAGTTGTTTTTGGTACCGGGCCCATCGTGGGTGCTACAGCCTCTGTGGCTGTGCTGAGGCGGGACCAGCTAGGGGCATAGGCGCCGCCCACCATCGTAGTGGGCAGCCGAGGCGTCTAGGATTTAGGGTTAGGGTCTAGGGTTTTGGGAGTACAGGCCCTGAATCCCAAGTTGTAAGGGTTAGGGCTGCTAATCTATCGGATTTAGGGTGTAAGGTCTACAAGGTTTAGGGTTTGTCGGTTGTCGGGTTCAGGAAATAAGCTTTAAGGTTTGCGGAACCCCTCTAGCCATCCGGACATACCCCGCAATCTGTAACCTCAACCCTAAGTCCTAAACATTGAACCCCACCACCCTTCCATAACCCAGAGAGTCCACGTACCCAATTATCAGGTACTTGGGTTTTAGGTAATAGTAATTAGGATACAGGTTTTGGGAAAGTATATGATGATTAGGTACTTGGACCCTCAGGGCAAGCATCCCAGTTTTGACAAGCCCCCTGCCTCACCGCGGCTATATTGGATGATGCGCTGCGCTGTGTAGTTGCCGAACCTGAATGGGAACTAGCTGGGTTTACTTCCCTCCGCCCCCCGGCGAGTAGGGAATGAGAAATGAAACATGAAAATGAAAACGACAATTTAGGATTGGAAATGAAGGACTGCAAGAGAAACTGGAAATGACTAGCCTGTTTGGGCTTTAGAATTTAGGGTAGAAAACCAAGGAACGGAAAAGAAAATGGAAACTACCGTATTACTAGGGGCTAGGTAAAGACAACTTTTAGGATCGCTTCCTTCATTCCTTTCTGACCAGAAATTTGTTTAGGGGATGTAGGGGTTAGGGGATTAGATGTTTTGTAGTTCAGGGAAATGTTTCTAGGGTGGACTCTGGAATGTGTTAGTTTCGGAAGGTCACCCACAGAACGCAATGACAATTCCGCATTTCCTTCTTGCAATCCTATACCCTAAACCCTAAGCCCCGAACCCTAAACCCTAAACCGCGTCTTCACATATTCACCCCAACCCCTTTTTGTCTGGGGACACACGACCAGTGCGCAATTCGAGAGGCAAGGGTTGAAAGTTTAGGGTACCAGAAGCCAGAATGATAACAACAAACAGTATGGGCTCAGAATCCAAAGCCTCGAAACCGTAAACCTCCCACTCACAACCATAAAACGTCAGCCCCTGTAGCCCCTAGCCTTAAACTCTGGACCCTCCCTCAAGCAGCTGAGCCCTAAATCCTAAAACCCAACCCCCAGAGGGTCCAAGTACCCAATAATGAGGTGCTTGGGTTTTGGGTAATAGTAATTATGATACAGGTTTTGGGTAAGTACATGATTATTAGGTACTTGGACCCTTAGGGACCGAGGAGCTTATCCGTCATGAGCTGGTTTATAGGTGCCCTCTGGTCCCCAGCAGATCCCAGGACGGCGGAGAACAGTTCGGCCCTTTCCTGCGGGCTGACTTTGTAGTCTGAATCCTTTTTTATTCCAAATAATGGGATTATATTGGGGCAAAACCCTAAACCCTAAACCGTATCAAGGTTATAATAGGGTTGTACTAGGGTTATACCAGGGCCTACTAGGGAGGGCTTAAGTGGAGGTTTGGTGCTTGAATGGAAGTATTTGCGCTTAGGCTTTTTAGTGCAGGTTCATGTAGGGTTCACTTGAAGAACTCTTGTTTACAGGGCTCTATGATTAGGGCTTAGGATGTCAGGTTAAGATCTCAAGTATGAGCCGTAGTGACTCCTTATCTGGAATCCCTATGTACAGTATATATGTATATACATGCGGATTCTCGATGTAAGTTTTATGGCCTGCGCCCGCCATCCTAAGCTCTACACCCTTACTGGTGGTTCGCAGGGAATAAGGCTGGAATAGAACCCTTACATCATCCCTATATAATATCTTCCCTTATTCCCTACTAACCCCAGTAAGCACCTTGAGTTCGTAAACCCTTTTGACCCCGCTTGAGCTATGGTCTATCCTCCTAGTATCCCCCTTAATAACCCCTAAACCGCTCCCTATACAACCCCCCCCTTACGGAGTTTAGACTATATTATAGCTTGAGCTATAGTCCTAGTATCCCCCTTCATAACCCCTATAATACTCCCCATAGATAAGCCCTTTTAACCTTAAACCCTAAATCCCTAAACCCTTTTAAATTATTGTATAGCTCACTTTGAAGAGGCCGGGTGGAGTTCCTCCTCCAGGATGTCCGCATTTTGCCCGGTGGAGGTTACCTCGAGGCACTTCTCCACCACGTTGCTTGAAACCTGCAAAGCAGTTAGGCTTAGGGCTTAGGGTTTAGAGTTTAGGGTTTAGGGTGGTTAAATTTAAGGTCAGGGGTTTAGGGTTGCTTGAAACCTACAAAGCAGTGGGGCTAAGGGTTTAGGGGTGCTGGGGGTTGCCGAAAACCTGCGTAGCAGAAGGATTTAGGGAATACCTTCCCTCGAACTTACAGTCTCTTCAGGGTACATGGGTGTTTCTTAACTTTTGGGGTGTCTTGTTGGGGGTCCACATATTGAGGATTATAGTGCTTTGGGGTCTTTTTGGGGGTCCCTCCATTTATTTTGGGAAACTGACACATACGAGCTTATTACGGGGATGTATATGGCATCGCTTTCTTTATGGATTGTGTAGGGCTTACCCTTTCACCCAAAATGAGCCTCCACTGAAAGGCTGAACTCTTTCTGGTAGGGATCTCTTTGGGGTTGTCATCTTGACTTGCTTGTGTGTTTGTGGAAGTTTGGATTTAGGGTCTGGAGGTCATAGCTCAACCTCGGCAAAGGGGCGGCAGGTATAGGTTGAAGGATCCACCGCGTTAAGCTGCTCTTCTTGGTTTGTGACTTTCCCTCCTGCTCCTGCAGGGATGTGCTATTCTCCTCTGCACAGCTCTCAGTTAAGATTTAAGTCTGGCCGCGTATACCCACACAGGGCTCAAGGTTTAGGGTTTAGGGTTCGTGAACTGTGCGATGGGGCGCACATTGTTGTATTACCCTTCAAAGGTGTATAGCCTCTGCTAAAACTACTGTAGCCAACAACATAATTCTGCTATGGCGACCAGGCATGGGTGTTTGCTTCATGGTGAAAATCTGAGTGCACGGCGACGGAAGGAATAGGAGCACGAAGTTGCAATCTTGGGCAGACTATAGTGCTCTCTAAACCCTAAACCCAAAGGACATGTTGCCAGGAGAGAGTTCATATCCAAATCAAACTGACAACTCGCCTTGTTCTTGGAGAAGTCGAGCACATTCTTGCTGATTGTTTGCACAATGCTCTTCCTTAGCTCCTAAACCGTAAGCTGCAAATCCAGAATACTAGCAACTCACATCGGGCAGGTTATGAACCTTTCACAACGTTGTCCTCATTCTTGATCATCATCACTACAAAGAAGGACCCATAAACCTTGAGAATACATTGATTTACGCGTCAGGTCTCTTGTCTTCGTTGCGCCCTTTCTCCAGAATGCACTGGACCACATAGTTTGCATGCTTGTCCTTGGACAACTTCGAGGCTGCGCGGACGATGGGGTCGATGATTCCCGTCAGGTCTTCCAGGTCACAGTTCCTTAAGATCAGCTAGAACTGTTATCAGTTTAGCCCGGAAGAAACCACCCAAACAAGAATGTGAATGAGAAAACCGCCAACCTGGACCTGGACTCCCAAAATCTTTAAAAAATGCCCTTTTGCTTCTTCTTGGGGTTCTGCGACATGATTTTAAGACATTGTGGGTTTAAGTAGTCACTAAATCTTCGTATTTCAATCCCAGACAGCAAAACAGCAACAACGACTTCTTTGATGGGCAAGTTTCTCCACGAGCCTCTGGATGATCCGGCAGCCGTAGATATGTGACGCCATCTTTTCCGCTGTGTCACTATTGGACACGGCTTGGATGACGAAGCCAACCTGCATGGGTATGCGGCGAGGGACAGGACAACAGCAGAGCGAATGTTGAGTAATGTAATCGTTTCCAGTTTTCCATTAGCCCTAGATAACCCCTACAAACCCTAAACCCTATAGTATCCCTGCATACCCTATATAATATAACCTTACATCGCCTCAGTATGAGTGTCTCGAACTTGAGTCTTCTGCTTAGAGCTCTCCTCTAAATCAAGACTTTAAACTACAACCCGGGCCGCAAGGCCACCAAAGCGTGATGTTTGTGCGTGTAGACATCTGTGGCTGAAACGCAGCCGTGCGTTGAACATGGGGTTATCTTTGTGTGCCCACAACAGGGAGTCATCGAGATTCGCTCGCATTCTTCTTGACCAAAGCTGTTAAGACTTGACAGCCGTATGCCCCATTTCAGGAATCTGCTCTACACAGGCCTATACAAGTGTTCCTCTTCTTAAGGGGGCTTGGGCTAAAGCTCGATCTTTGAACATCTCATAACCCTAGCCTGGTGCCATGGAAGTGGCGAAAGCCCGTTTGCCCTCACAGGCCCCAACCCTGATAGTGAAAACCTCAGGGTCAAGCCCGCAACCACACCTCTGGGCGGAGGTTCTCTACCACCTTTTGGATGACATGGTTACCGTTCATGTCTTCGATAAGGTCGATAACATCGTCAGTCATCTCTGATGCAACGTCCAACCTCGAGGCTATGATTTGGATGGATAATATGGGGGGGTTACATAGGAGAGATAGTAAGGAATGGGAAAGAACATGGAAAGTACTGGGTTTCATTTAGGATTTAGGGTTCAGGGTCGGGGGGACTTAGCAAATATACTTATAACCCCTCTAATCCATACAGTACCACAGTTCCGCCGATGAGTCACCTACTTACTAAGTCTCGCTGATCCTCCATTCAACAGCCGAGTGCAGATTTGATGACGGGGGGGCGAAAACAGTAATTACTAGAGGAAGGGATCAAGGGGTTTGGGGTTTAGGGTCTAGACCCTAAACCCTAAGCCTATAGGGCTTTGGACAAGTCAAGATGGAGCCGGATTTACGAAGAAATGCACAGCGGCTCTATATAGACGGTGGTGGGATTTTGCAATGATTGCGTAGGAACTATCTTGTTTGTCAAGTCGCTGTCACTGGAATCATCTGAAAAAAGGTGTATAGTCCCCCTCAAGCAGATAGAATATGGCTTTGGGAATATTATACTAAGATCCCCATATACCCAACATTTTATCTACTTAAGGGGGACTATAGAGACGATGGGGAGGTTTTAGGGTTCTGGAATATCCATACCGAGCCTTACAGACTTTCAACCTGGAGTCAAAATCAACACTTCGGTTTAGGGTTTTTGGCTTGTTGTTTATGTAAAACCACGAAAACAGACCTGACGCCAAGAAGAAACACATTTGAGCTTTCCAAAAAATTGAAACTCCCTCTTGGGAGGTCCTTTCAATGGGGGGGGGGAATATTTAGGGCACATATGGAGGAATCCATTTTTGGAGACCCTAAACCCTAAACCCTGAACCGTAAACCCTACACTCTAAACTTACATGTCTCTTGCACCCAAGCCACTTCAAACTCTGTGGCAAACGCTCCAGCATCTTTTGGACTACTCTGCAGCCGAATTTGTCTTTGGAAAGGTCCAGGACCTAACAGTAAGGGACGCTGCTAGGCCCGCATCTGGTCTAGGTAGGTTTCAGAAGGGAAGTGTTTTAGGGTTCAGGGTTTAGGGATTTTACGGTGGTATCTCAGGGTTTAGGATTTAGGGTGCACATGCATCAACATTATCGCTGAAACATCACTGGCCCCCCTGTCCAGGTAGCCAAGCGGGTGCACGTGGCAAGCCCGGATTCATTCCACAGCAAAGCAATTGAGCTTACGGCAGGTTCTCTCGCATTACCAGTGCCCCATGACTACCCAGCGGCTTCTGTGTAGTTTGGGTCTGTTATGACCTTTTACTAAGGCAGTAGAGTATACAACCCCAAGAGGAATTACATATGCCCGTAGAATATCGAGTAGCATGGCCTTAAGATCCAAAGGTCTGACTGAAACAATGACTTGACACTTTTCGCCCTAGCTGGCTGAAGCCCCTTTCCCAGGTGCTAGGGTGCTTGCTGAAAAGCAGAATTCCTGGCTGAAACGATGAGGCCCATGCAGATGAGCCATAACTAGGCTGAACCCTCCATAGGCATGCCATCAAGGCGGGCGTTCCTGTGCATATTCCACCTCGCTACTGCGCGTGAGCTCATAATAAGGGGACCTTATGAACTGGACGAATCCAGGGTTGCTTCGTGCTGGCTGCACCAGAAGGACATCCCCAACACCTCCACTGCTTGGATGCGCACACCGTCTACCCTAAACCTTAAACCCTAAACCTTAAACTCTAAAGCCTAAACCCCAAAGCCTAAGCCGTAAACCCTAAACCTTAAACCCTATATTAGGGGAAGGAGATTAAAGACTATTTGGGTGATGTCGTTCCAAGAAAAGCCATGCGGCGTGGCCCTTGACCTTGTCAACCAGCCGACTATGCCTGTGCTGCGGTTTAACCAAAGGATTTAGGTGTAGGGTTTAGGGTTTAGGGGTTTAGGGGTTTTGGGTTTAGGGTTGGGGGGTTGGGGTTTGAGGTTTTGGGATCAAGGAACCTAAGTATTTATGTAGTACAAAGTAGGGTTTCTATACTAGGAATGAGTCGTATGGTTGTGGTTAGTATCCCCTATATACATACTTAGGATCATTTGAGTAAGGAGCTGAGACTCAGCTACCATCATGGTGATCGGTTTTCATAACGGAAGCTCAAATGGAAAAGAACATGGAACATGACGTGGAACTAGGTAATATAAGGAGTTAAACAACTTGATTCAACTTACCATGGCATGGAGATATGATAGGAGGACACCCCCTCCCCCCCGCCCCGACATAAGTGGTATAATAGGAACATCATAGGACCTTAAAATAATTCTTACTATCCCTTATTTACAATCACTATTACAGGGTAGGGGGGGCTCGTCCTCAGATATGTGATACCCTAAGGGTCCACGCACCTAATAATCATATACTTACCCAAAACCTGTATCACAATTACTCTTAACCAAAACCCAAGAACCTGATTATTGGGTACTTGGACCCTAAGCCCTAAACCCTATATACCCCTATGTACCCCTATATGTCCCCTTTAAAGGGGCCTAATTGTTGGGTACTTGGACCCTCTGTGACTTCATCACAATGCCGTAATAGAAGTCCAGATGCTGATCATCGTTGCCAGCCTCGAAGAGCTTCTGTACCACAAAATTCCTAAGGTTTTTATGGTTTAGGGTTTTGGGGTTTTTAAGGTTTTAGGGTTTAGGGTTTTGGGGCTGCAGGGTCTAGGGTTTAGGGGCGGATCGGGAGGCAGCACCACCACCAAATTCCTGAAATGGCGTGGAATGGAAGCACCGCAACATTCCTAAGTTTTAGGGTTTAGATATGCAGGTTTCTTGGCAGATTTTTCTCTTTCAACCCTGAACTCGGAACCCTAAACCGCGTCTTCCAGCGGTTGGCGATGGGACTCGCAACCTGATGGAAAGGATCCCGCACGATCCCAGAATGCCCAATACCCATTAGGAAGGAATATGCCCTACATCATATGAAGATCCTTGTCATTCTGTAAGGTATATTCCTTAATGAACGGGCGCTGTGCTATTTAGGTTCATGTGTAGGACGCAATTAGGGACCCTGCTATTGGCAAAATGTGGGAGGCCCAGTATGTGCCTATGCCCTCTCCAGAGGGCATCGGAAAGCTACAAGTAAGACTAACCTAGAGGGTTCAAGTGTCCAAATATCAAGGGGTTTGGGCGCCAAATACCATTCAGATTGTAGAATTCAAAGTTTGGAAGTACCCAAACACAGGGCTTCAGGTCCTAACTTCTATTCAGATTAAAGTAATTGGGGCCTAAAACCCGATTATATGGGTACGCGTACTTGGACTCTGAGGGGTAAGCCCCTAGGCCAGCCCACCACCGACCTTCATCTCTGGAAGCCTTAGCATTTTAGGGTTTCAGGCGTAGTGTTTAGGGTTTGGGGCTTACGGGATCCAGGTTTCAGGGCTTAGGGCTTTACAGTGTCCAGGGTTTAGGGCTCGGGGTTTCTGGTTCAGGGCTTGGGCTCTGTCACTTTGACGGACGCTGGAGTTACGTAGGGCACAATATCCTGTTAGTAAATCCTTCGTACGCAATAGTATTGTTAACCTATATATAACTCGTTAGCGGCGCCAGGGTCCCATCTAGTATAGCCACTTCCGAGCACCCTTCCCTTTAGTGAGCAGCATTCACAAGCAAGACCTTTTTGCAAGGCCCTTGTCCACAAACCCCGGCCGGCCCTAAACCTTAAACCCTAAACGTTAAAACCCTGAACAGCCCAAACCCTTTACTAAGGTTGATTCCCGATTCGTGGAGAACCCTCCGCTGCGCGCACTGGTTTGTGCAAAGTTGTGTCCTGCAGCTTTATTCGTAGGTAAAGCGTTGAAAAGCTAGTTTGTTGTCCGTAATGTAGACCCATAACTAATAAACCCCCTCCTTTTAAGGACCTAAATATTGGGATCCCAATTATATTAAAGGGAGGGGGTTGTTAATCAGGGGTCTACGTACATTAATGTGGCTGTTGTACCTGGCCGGGCTGCCTTGAGATTCCAAGGTTTTGATAGCAGAGGAAAGTTCAGGTCAGGTCCAAAGCTCATGAGTTCCCTACCACCGCCCCCTAGTATTTTGGGAGAACTAAACCTGGGGGGGGGTGGTGTAGTGGGGATGGTTGGGGAACCACTGCTTTTTTTGGGGGAACCACTGCTGAACCATCGATTTCTTATTCATCGGCTCATTCGACATGACAGGGCCAACGTTTCCGCAAAAGGGTGGTCCAGTGACAGGGCTCAGCCACAAGAATCACGTTACAAGGGGCCGAGAGGCCAGTCTCTTAAGAGGTTCCAAAAAAAAATACACCCCTACAACCCGCTACACCCCAATAATCAAACTCAAGGCTTGCGCAGCTCACCCGCAACGGTGGGCGCGTTTATGCCCCTCGCGATCATCTGCCATTCGACAGGTATGGGTTGCAAAATTTGTTAGATGGCCACAAAATTCTTCTAGCTTTCTGTGGCTCACTTTATGTCTGTCACTACTGTTTTTCAATTCGCTCATTTCATTCCTTCCATTAAACAACGAAATGAGAGAAATAAGTGAAGTGAACAAATGAATGAAGAGAAAGAAGAGAGCGTAATGAATTAATTCACAAGCTTATGAACTCACCCCCCCCTCACGACGCTTGATTTTTGTAAGGATAGAATTTTACCATCAGAGTTCTATTACAGCATTAAAGAGGTTCCTTAAAGACAAAGATTCCAAGATTTCTATAATATTTCGATTTCCCGGATGATTTTTGCTACCAAAGGTTACCATTGGCTTATATCTTCAAGTCTCTAAGGATTACTACTGCTGCTAGATCCTGTATTTCAGGGGGCTCGCTTCCTTCCTTTCGCTCCCCTCATTTCGTTCACTCTGTTCACTTCATTCACTA